TCCATGTTCCAAATACAGTAGGTCCTTCTATATTTAAAATAAATCAGAAATTCTAGAATCAACCAATCCAGTGCAATTCCTTTACCCTCGTTTAGTAGCAAAGAGTGTTTATAGAGTATTGTTCATTATAAATTTTATTTTGTGTGAGATTAGGGACATTTAGCAGTAAAGAAAAGCATCCAGGTGTTATGTATGCAATTCTTACTCAGGACATATAATGTTTTCAGCAAATCGTATATCGTACAGTGTTGGTGTGTACAGCATGTGTACCCGAAATTGTTTGAAACATTTTCTTTCTTTCAATGCAGTTAAAAATAAATTGAGAGCAGGGTGTTAAAAATCAGGTTCCACTATTTTAATGTTTTGAAATTTGGATTGGATTTCTGTATTATATCCTGGTACTATTCACTTAAAGGGAAACTATAGTGCCATGAAAACAAACTCGTTTTCCTGGCACTAAAGCTTCCCCTTCTGTCAAGGCCTCCTCCCGCGGCGCTGAAGGGGTTAACCCCTTAAGGACAGAGCTAAATGTACACGTTGTGAATAAAACAAAACCTGGCATTTGCTAGCCGCCTCGCACTGTTGCAAAGAGAGGGCCTCACCTGTCATTCCCATTCTTTCTTATGCTTTAATTGACACCGAGAGGCCAACACCCCGCCACAACGTTCGATGGCCTCAATTTCCTCTCAGGCCGCTTGGCACCTAGCAGGGACTCCTCTGTCACGCTCACAAAGCATAATTGTTTCACCGCTTGGTATTTAGCTAGCCACACTAGTACCCACCCTAATTCATAACATATGACTGATAAAACAAATTTTTATATTTTTCAGTTATGTCACAAACTCCTGATATCCCTGAGGAACTTTCACTACCCAGCACACCTGCTAGGTCTGGTACCACTGTGCCTGGTGCAGATGTGAATAGCCCTTCATCCCTTAAATCATGGACCATCCCACGTCTCACAGCTGAACTCAGAAGATGCTGCATCCCTTTCCCAGCTACTGCTAGGAAGGCGGAGTTGTTTAGATTACTGAACACTACCACCGACAACTCCGAGCCGGGGGAAGGCCCTAGTGGGACTCAATTACCTGCTTTTCATGCCATGATGACGTCTCTAATGGCATCCATTGGCACAATAAGTGACAGGCTGGATAAATTGGAGGCTGGGGCTAATCAGTCCACTACCAATACTGCGGTCACCAGTCATCCTCTCTCTAATGCTATGCCCGGTAATTCCTTTGAATCTATGGCGGCTATAGAATCAATTAATCCCTCGCATATGGTCCCATCTCACCTTAAAAAGGACATTCTGGAAGGCAAGGATGTTAACCTGGTCTCATTGCTCATTGCCTCCCAGGATGTCCTCGAGAACAGGACCTTTGCATACCGGGATATTTCTGTTGTACTAAGGGCTAGAGACCCCCGGCTAAATAAGAAATTGCCCATCCTTGAATTCGTGCTGGGGTTTGGGATTAATAGAGATGTCTACTGCTCAGTTTACCCTGAGAAAAGAGCAGAGTTGGATGCATACATACACAAGATGGTGGATCTGGGGCACAAATACGGTGGTACCGTTTTTTACGATTACCACCGTTCTTTCTCTGCAAAGGTGGCTGCGGCTCTGGCTCAATTCAATTTATGCATAAATTGGAACAAGTTGGACACAGAGCTATTCTGCAGGCACTTTGCAGGCCTCAGACCCCTAGCTTGTGCAGTGTGTGCATCGGCAACGCATAGCACCAATTTCTGCCCAAATTCGGCTGAAATTGAACAAAACCAACCGGCTTCTAACTTCCAAAGACCTACTAGAGGATTAAAAGACAAACTGGGCAGGGATATTGTATTTTTAGGCAAATCCCAAGTTTGCAATAATTTTAACGCAGGGAATTGTGGTTTCAGTTCTTTCAGGTTAATGCATGTATGTTCACACTGTTTCAGGGCCCATTCCAAGACAATGTGCCCAAATAAAGCATTTCCTAAACTGTATCTTACGTGCGTGAACATCAGATTACTCACCACTTTGTTACATCTACACCCATCACGCCATTTCAGTAACTATCTTATAACGGGACTGACTGAGGGATTTCACACCGGGTTGATACATTTACCTACAGGTACGCTGGATTGTGACAACCTACTACCCACATTAGATGACCCACAGTTGGTACACAAACTCATTATGATCGAGGTAAACCAAGGGTTCTTTTTGGGCCCATTCTTTTCACTACCTTTCACGTCTTGAGAACAAACCCCATTGGCGTTGTCACGGGAAAAAACTCACTCAAACCTAGACTGATCATTGATTTATCAGCACCACATTCCTCCACGGTCCCCTGCCTAAACTCACTCTTACCTTCCGAAGTGTTTTCACTACATTACGCCACTATCAACCATGCCATAGGGGCCATCATTAAAGCAGGCACAGGGGCATGGTTAAGTAAAATGGATGTAGTGAATGCCTTCAAGTTACTTCCCATTCACCCTTCCCTTTGGCACCTTCACTGCATTAAATGGCAAATGTTATATTATTTCTTCACCCGTTTCACTTTTGGCTCCAAAAGTAGCCAACGTATTTTTGACACATTTGCAGAAGCGTTGTGTTGGTTATTACTTAATGTGTGGAAATGTCCTTCGGTCATTCATTATCAGGATGATTTCCTCACGATCGAGAACAACACACTCCCCCCAAGTAGTTTGAAACACATGTTGGCTTGGTTTGAATCCCTCACTATCCCTGTCTCCCCGCACAAGACGTTGGGCCCCGACACCAACATGCAATTTTTGGGTATACAACTAGACACTGTACACATGCAGGCTAGCCTCCCTCAGGACAAAATTGAGTGTACCCTGGCAAGCATCGAACACTACCTACTGCAGGGGTGTCGCACTCGGAAAGAACTGCAATCACTGCTGGGTTCGCTCAACTTTGCAATGAGGATCATTCCACAAGGTAGATCTTTCATTTCACATCTACTCTCCCTATTTCCACAATTCACCTCAGACACTTCACGTATCACGTTAGACGGCCACGCAACATCTGATTTACGGATGTGGGTTTTTTTTCTCACCCCTTGGAACGGGTGAGCCATGTTTATACCACCCCACTCTGACACTTCCCCTACACTGTGGACAGATGCCGCAGCAATCACAGGTTTTGCAGCCATCTGGGGAGATCAATGGCTTTGGGAACCATTGCCGACCGAAGTCAAATCACTGCCCAAATTCACCGAGACCTCAGCTTTATTTGAGCTGCACCCAATCGTGGCAGCGGCCATTGCCTGGGGACCACATTGGTCCGGTCACATGGTTAGGTGCTACTCGGATAATATGGCTACATGCCATATTGTCAATAAAGGCCGGTCAGCATCCCTGGTAATTATGAGACTCCTGAGACGACTCACATGGGTAGCGGCCACCTGTCAATTCTTTATCACATGTATTCACGTTCCGGGGTGCACAAACACTGGTGCTGATCACTTGTCTCGATTTTCGTTTTCAGGATTTGTTCACGACACTACCCTCTGCTTCCAGACTGGTAACTCCTGCCCCACTCTTCCGAGACATGATAATGGATTAAAAGCTTTGTTAGATCACGCACGTCACATTTCTCACCTTGCACTTTCAGTAAACACTAGAAACACATACGACAGGGCTTTTCACGTATTCAAGAAATTCATCACTGAATGCCACATCACGACATGTTCACGTTATAATCAATACTGGGTTTCACTTTTTTGCCACATCAACCTTAAATTATCATTCAACACTATAAAATTGTACCTTACGGGCATTCAACACCACATGCTTATCCAACAACCCAATGCTACAGGTTTCCTGTCCTCATATCAAATTAAGACAGTACTTAAAGGCATTAAAAAATTGGACACACGGGGCGTGGCTACCGGCGGAGCAAGATGGACGTGTAATCTTTAGCTCCTGCACATGGGCTCCGACAAAGGCGTCTCAAAACCCGCAATAGACGACCCTGACAAGCAAACAACCAACATGTCACAACCCAAGCAGAAACGGCAAGCCTCCAAAACCGAAAGACAAAATTTTTTTGGTCAAAACGCCACGCAAAACAAATATACAAACCAGCAGCACCAACAAGATGGCGGGGAGGAAACACACGACAGCAACCTCCTTACAGACCCTGCCGACCAGACTATGGAGGAGCCGGTCACCAAGCAATTTCTTTTGGAACAGCTGGGAGCGTTCTCCAGCAAAATGATGGCTGGCTGGGAAAAAGGCCTATCAAGCCTGAAGAAAGACATAGGGGAGCTGGGAGCGAGAACCTCCCGCGTGGAGGAGAAAATGGAGGAAACACAAGAGGCACACAACCACCTAATAGACCAGGTGAATGCACTACAAGACACAGTATCCGCAATGGAGAACAAGCTCATGGATATTGAAGATAGGGCGAGGAGAAATAATCTACGACTGCGGGGCATACCAGAAACGGTGGCCCCTGCGGACCTCCAGGCCTACGTGCATGAATTTTTCCATGTGCTCTCGCCAGACACACCATCAGACATGCTCCTTTTGGATAGAGTACACAGAATACCCAAACCTCCACACCTACCACCCTCAGTCCCAAGGGATGTCATCCTGTGCGCTCACTACCATCATATTAAAGAAATAATCTTAAAACAGAGCAGAACAAACAAGACCGCACCTAGCAAATACGCTGATATCAAGATATTCCCGGACCTATCTGCGGCAACGCTGAGAAGGAGGAAAGCCTTCCAACCCATTACTATCATCCTCAGGCAGCACCAAATAGCTTACCGGTGGGGTTACCCCCTCAAGCTTCTCATCTCCAAAGATGGCGCAACGAAGATACTGACCTCGCCAGAAGATGGTGAAAAGCTCCTCAAGGAATGGAACCTACCCACACCAAGCAAGCCGAACAGAGAATCTGCCATGCTGCATCGCGAATGGCGCAAAATATAGTATCAATGGACTTATATCAGCCATTCTGGACTGCTAATAAGATATAACGAGTAGAGGCTGGTAATGTATATAAGGAACCAACTGTTTATGTTTGCTTATGTTAATTATGTTAATTTTGTTAACTTGGTGACACCTCAACCCGCACATCTCACCTGCACAGACAACACCTACACGCACGCCAACGCACATTTGAACCCCGAATGCCAAAAATTGGCCAAATCTAGCTCAGATCTATCCCCTATCTAATTGAAAAAGCACACCCACCAACCTACACCTAAGACAAAAAGGTTCTGGATAACCTACTAACCCTAACCGGCTGGAATTGCAGTGAAACTAAAATGCAGACGCAAAGTCGGCTACACCACAACCTGAATGTCTATCTAAGATTGTAAAACTGAAAAAAAAAAAAAAAAAAGTTAATATTATTATTACTCTATTATTGTATATTGGATTTAAACGGAACACGAGGCCGGGGGGAAAGGAGGGGACACGCTAACCAAAATACCCCAACACGGAATACAGCACAGACGCACTAGCATTTTTGGTACAAGAAGCTGTGACAGCTTTCCCCAACACACTGTAGCAACTGCCGGGACAATATAAAAAAAAATAAAAAAATGGCGCTTCCACTCCCTCTGGCCTCAGTACCTCCACTAAGATAAGGCACCAAACCAACAATCAGGGATACTAGTTTGACATGAATTTCGGGGCAGATGAAAATACCTAAACAATGAAGGAGCCCAGGTAGCCTCCTTCGTGAGCAGGAAGTACATGCTCACCACACCCCAGGTACTATCAAGGAGTACCGAGCCCTACATCTGGGCATTGTTGTATATAGTTGAGCTCTCCTCGAGACTCAGGTTTATACCCCACCTATCCTTACCCCTAGTTGCAAACCATGAGAGGGATCAAGAACCCATTACACCCAAATCTAGGCATATCAAGCAAACAGTCAGCAAGTCGATTATCACCTGGCACCCACCATGGCTGGCATACCGAGGTAGACTGTCACTAAACATTATATTGAACTACTCAACAACAGGAGAAGAATCCCACCCTACCCAACCCCATAATGAAAATATATTCACATAATGTAAGGGGCCTAAACACCCCCCAAAAACGCCAAACATTGCGCACAGAACTGAAAAACCATAACGCGGATGTGATCTGCCTCCAAGAAACTCACTTCAAAAGGCAGACATCTCCTTCCTTAGACCCTTCACAATTCCCGAACCAATACCACTCCACACATAGCCACAAGTCTAGAGGAGTTAGCATTCTAATACACAAATCAGTCGCATTTGATCCACTCAAAATAGTTAAAGACGCCAATGGGAGATACCTTATCCTAATATGCAACCTTAATGATGTCACATACACCATAGTCAATATCTACGCACCAAACGACAATCAATGGCACTTCCTACATAAAATACTGACTAAAGTGAGCAACATACAACAAGGCATAGTAATATACTGCGGAGACCTCAACCACACCCTAGACCCAGAAATGGACACTACACTTGACGCAAAAAAACCCAGACTGGCATCTCTTAGACCGGCCTGCGCCAAACTTAATAAACTGCTAATTCAATTTAACTTATACGATGTGTGGCGCACACTACATCCAGGGGATAAGGACTACACCTACTACTCCCAAGTGCACAAAACCCACTCTAGGATAGATCATTTTTTCATGACCAGCACAGGATTATCACATACGCATCAATGTATATATGGAGATATCACATGGTCAGACCATGCCCCAGTGATACTGACACTCATTGACGCATTCACATACAAAGGCAAAGGTTCATGGAGACTAAACGACTCACTGCTTCACGACCAAGACTTCACCCTCACGCTAGAACAAGAACTTAAACACTATTTTACTACTAACGAGAACCCCCAGACCACGGCCCCGATTCTGTGGCAAGCACACAAATCAGTCATACGAGGACTGTTGATCCGCAGAGCATCATATCTTAATAAACAAAGACGAGCAACACTTATGAAACTGCTCATACAACTAAGGGATACGACCCAAACTTATTATCAAACAAAACAACAAGATCTCCTACCAGAAATCCAAAACATCACCTCTAAAATTAATGACCACCAATTCCAAAAAACGGCATACATTCTGAAAAAATTCAAAATGAACCACTATGCGAAAGGGAACAAGGCCAGAAAATTGCTGGCCAACATGTTACGCAAAAAAACAATCTAACTCTAAGATCCCATACATTCTCTCAAAAAACAACCAAAAACTATGGAACCCACAAGACATGAACAGGGAACTAGTGACCTTTTATAACACCCTCTATAACTTAAAAGCAGATGACACACTATATCAACCAACTGTCGCAGACATTGAGGGATACCTACAACACATACCGCTGCCAACATTGACAGAAGAACAAAAACACAAACTGTCGGAACAGATCTCGATAACGGAACTAACGGATGTAATTGCTAGACTACCTACAGGGAAATCCCCAGGCCCAGACGGATTCACGAATCAATATTACAAAACTTTCGCAACTACACTCATTCCCTACATGAAACAAACCTTTCAATCCATAATACACACAGGGACGATCCCACAGGAAATGCTCATAGCCCATGTAGCCACACTACCCAAACCAGGGAAAATGCCAGACAAAGGACAGAACTTACGCCCAATCTCACTTCTTAACACAGATCTTAAACTGCTGGCGAAAATATACTCGAATAGACTAGCTGCAATCCTTCCAGAATTGGTCCATGAAGACCAAGTTGGCTTTATAAAGGGAAGGCAGGGCACTGACGGCACTAGGAAAGTCTTAGACATACTATACAGCATACACAAACGGAAAACGGGATGCCTATTCCTGTCGCTAGATGCCGAAAAGGCTTTTGATAGGCTGAATTGGGACTTTCTCAGAGCGACATTAACGAAGTTCGAATTCCCACCAGAGTTCATGAACACAATACAAGCTTTATATAGCAAACCCACTGCTAGACTCATCAACGCAGGGTTCCTCTCGGACCCATTTGAGATCACAAATGGGACCAGACAGGGGTGCCCCCTTTCACCCCTATTATACGTACTAGCGCTAGAACCTTTCACGACTCTCATTAGACAACACCCATTAATCCTAGGCGTCAAAACACAAAGCAAAGAACATAAACTCACACTATTCGCGGATGACATACTACTGACGATACAAGACCCCGAAGCTTCTCTACCACATTTCCATTCTACACTAGAAAACTATAGCAAAATGTCCTATTACAAACTAAATATTTCAAAGACGCAAGCCCTTTGCAAAGGTCTCCCCCCAGAGGTCACTTATAAACTAAAAAACACCTACACATACGACTGGAGGACTGACTACATTACATTTCTAGGTATACGGTTTACAAAAGCACATACTGCATTATTTAACGCCAACTATGGCAAACTCAGTATAGAGATAAAAAAACAACTACAAGAATGGAAAACATCATTCATATCCTGGTCGGGACGCATGGTAGCGATCAAGATGATAATCCTCCCTAAGTTGTTATACCTTTTCAGATCACTTATGATTCATATACCCACCACTTACTTTACTACAATCCAACGCTGGATAACCAGATTTGTTTGGAATGACAAAAGGGCACGTATAGCCCTGAAGGTACTGCAGTTACCGCTCAAAGAAGGGGGTATGAATTTGCCAAACCTCAAACAGTACTATCATGCAACTGTACTTAGCAGCATTATCCAAACACGACCAGGCGCACAAGCACCTCAATGGAAGCACATAGAAGCAGAATGGGCCAATAATATTAGCACTGACAACTTAATATGGATACCGAAACTTAACCGGCCTTACCTACAAGATTGCCTACCAACCACAACATTATCACTAAAAATATGGGATGGGGTCCGTCCCCTCCTAACAAATAACTCAATCCTTTCCAAAGCCATGCCACTTAAATCAATAGCACACATTATCCCAGATTTTAACTACAGAATATGGGAAAGACACGGCATACAATTTCTACACCAGATACTCACTAACACAGGACTAGCAACCTTCGCCTCACTACAGAACTCACATAAGCTCCCAACGGTAGCACATTATTCCTACCGCCAACTAGACTCATGGTTGCGCATACAAATTCAGGAGCAAACAATTAACATTCAGGCACAAAAGATGACAGAATTTGAGGAAATGTATATTAGCCCCACACCGTCCCAGAAAATCATATCCTCTATCTACACAACACTACCCACAAAATGCAAATTGCACGAACACAGATTTATCAAAGCGTGGGAAACAGAAATCCACCAAAAATTTACTGAGCCGGAATGGGAACGTATGATCCTAACCCCCAAATCCTTCACGTTATGCTCAAAACACATAGAGCTTGCCAAAAAACTCCTGTATAGATGGTACCTCACGCCCATACGGCTACACAAATATAATCAATCCCTTCCAATACAATGCTGGAGATGCAAATCAGACACAGGAACAATGGCACACATATGGTGGACCTGCCCATACTTGCAACAATACTGGAAAGACATATCCCAAATTATCACACACAGTACAGGATGCACCCTACCTCATAATTTGGACAACTATGTGCTCTTCAATATCCCAGAATCGCTACCTAAACCAGATAGGTACCTCATCTTCCATATAAATATAGTAGCCCTAGGCGCCCTAGCACAAAACTGGCTATCACAAACCATACCCTCCATCCCCATGTGCATACAACAAATAAGCCACGCGGGCCACTTTGAATCCACAATGAGAAGGCAAACCACCTCTCCCAACAAACCACACAAACAGTACCGAAGATACTGGGAAATAGCATGGGATAAGTGGGAAACATACAAAGTGACACAACAGGGAACCTCCCATCATGAGCTGACGTCATGCTGACCTTAACCCACACGAAGCCAGAATACTTACCAAAGCATACCCCACCAGACGAGAATGCCAAAGTAAATGATCACAAGGAGTAAGACCACTCCACACAACACTAGAGGTCAAAAGCAAAATTGAAGAGCAATCTGAATAACCCTCAAATGACCCCAAGCACATATCAAGCCCCCAGGGGAAATTATGGCAATCGATACCACTGAAACATAAGGTCAGGCCCTAGTTCTCTCCCTCTAATCTACTCCAAAGGTACGGGAAAAGTATACATCCCAAAGGTCAATGCACGAATACCACTGCCTTGCACGGTTTAACAGTTATTATGTGTACTCCAATAAATGTGATTACAGAGAATGTATGTGACGACTAATCTGTACACACCCTTTATGGAATTGCAACTACCCTCTCCCCCACCCCTCCCCTTCTTTTTTCTGTATCCTCATCCTCACGAAATGACAAAACAATAAAAATTGTCAAATTTGAAAAAAAAAAAAATTGGACACACATGTCCCCTCACAAAGACTACCCATAGACAAAAACATATTCGATTCACTAAGCCATTTATTAGATTCTTCTCCTTTCGAACCCATAACCAAAACCGTAATAAAGACAGCTATATATTTAGCTTTTTATGGGTTCCTCCGACCCAACGAATTCACGACTAGGATCATTACAACCTCCGACTACCTAAGAACTATGGACTTGCAAAAACATAACGACCATTACTTACTTATTTTAAATCAATCTAAAACCAGCACCGTAGGTCATACTATTGAAATCCCCTTGTATCCTACTCAACAAATGGTGCCCCGTACAAGTTTTTAACGCTTATTTACTTTCAATCCACAAACAACCTCTACAACCTTTGTTCGAACTACATGGAAACATTCTGACTACAACAAAATGTATGCTCTATGTACATCTACTGTTGACTAGGCTCAGCCTAAACCCCAGTCATTTCTCAGGTCATTCTTTCCGAATCGGGGCAGCATCTACAGCAGCTGCTAATCACGTACCCACTCACATTATCAAGGCAATGGGACGCTGGAAGTTCTCAGCCTACACCCTCTACATACCTAATCCTGTTAAAGAATTAAGACAAGCTTTCTGTGACTTATCTAAATAAATATAAGTTGGTTAACCGTATTACGTCTTATGGTATTTTCTTTTGCCCACTTTTCTTACAGGCCTACTGCTTTTTCGGTTCCAGCACACCACAACCGACTGGTTCCAACTCATTGATGTTATGATTATTATAAGCTAGATTTCTGTATACGACTATGTTGCCCCGACTACAAATATATATATGTGTGTGTATGTATGTGCACAATGATCACAGAATCCTTTTCCAGAACATTGGTAAATGCTATTTCCGGAGTGACAATCCTCTTTCATACATACTTTAGTTTTTCAATTGTTCGTTTTCTCTTGTGATAAGACAGATAATGCTTGACAACATGTCCGTTTAATGTAAAGTCCAATATACTGTCCAAGATTGTGAAATTGAGCGGATGTGACAGTGGTAGGCCAAACCCTGTTGAAAAACACATGACTAAATGTATCCAAGTAGAACATTGATAAATATCACCTTGGATCTACAGTGCAACCATTCCAACCTATGGACTCTTTTGACATCAGACATATATTGCTGTGCACAATGGTCTGCATTTCTGAATATAGACTTGTTTTTATTTTAACATGGTTGAACTTAAAGGATCACTATAGTGCAAGGAAAACATACTAGTTTTCCTGGCACTATAGAGCCCGGAGGGTGCCCCCACCCTCAGGGTCCCCCTCCCGCTGGGCTCTCGGGTGAGGAAGGGGTTAAACTTACCTCTTTCTCCAGCGCCGGGCGGGGAGCTCTCCGCCTCCTCTCCTCCTCTTCGGCTGAATGCGCATGCCGCGCGCATTCAGCCAGTCCACAGGAAAGCATTCACAATGCTTTCCTAAGGACGTTGCCGTCTTCTCACTGTGAAAATCACAGTGAGAAGCGCGGAAGCCCTCTAGCGGCTGTCAATGAGACAGCCACTAGAGGCTGGATTAACCCATTTATAAACATAGCAGTTTCTCTGAAACTGCTATGTTTATAGAAAAAAGGGTTAATCCTAGACCAAGGACCCAGACCACTTCATTAAGCTGAAGTGGTCTGGGTGCCTATAGTGGTCCTTTAAAGGGTTAATCCAGGCTCTAGTGGCTGTCTCATTGACAGCCGCTAGAGGCGCTTCCGCGCTTCTCACTGTGATTTTCACAGTGAGAAGACGCCAGCGTCCATAGGAAAGCAGTGAGAATGCGTTCCTATGGACTGGCTGAATGCGCGCGCGGTTCCTGCCGCGCATGCGCATTCAGCCGAGGAGGAGAGTCCCCTGCCCCGCGCTGGAGAAAGAGGTAAGTTTAACCCCTTCCACCCCCTAGAGCCCGGCGGGAGGGGGACCCTGAGGGTGGGGGCACCCTCAGGGCACAATAGTGCCAGGAAAACGAGTATGTTTTCCTGGCACTATAGTGGTCCTTTAAATAATGTCGCCTCTTTTACAGCAATGTTTTAAACTCGAGGAATGGACTGTAAGTTGAAAGCTTTGCAACTATTCTTAGTTGACACATTGGAGTTCCTTCATGTTAAAACTCAGAATACGTAAATCCGTGACCTTGTGACCCAGTTATAGTATATAGGTGCTTGATAAAGGATAGTTATGGTACTTTCGTTCTAATGAACAAGGATAGTTATGGTACTTTAATTCTTTTCCATGATGACCAGAGGATTGCTCTGTGTGTAGATATATATATATATATATATATATATATATATATATATACACAGGGAGTGCAGAATTATTAGGCAAATTAGTATTTTGACCACATCATCCTCTTTATGCATGTTGTCTTACTCCAAGCTGTATAGGCTCGAAAGCCTACTACCAATTAAGCATATTAGGTGATGTGCATCTCTGTAATGAGAAGGGGTGTGGTCTAATGACATCAATACCCTATATCAGGTGTGCATAATTATTAGGCAACTTCCTTTCCTTTGGCAAAATGGGTCAAAAGAAGGACTTGGCAGGCTCAGAAAAGTCAAAAATAGTGAGATATCTTGCAGAGGGATGCAGCACTCTTAAAATTGCAAAGCTTCTGAAGCGTGATCATCGAACAATCAAGCGTTTCATTCAAAATAGTCAACAGGGTCGCAAGAAGCGTGTGGAAAAACCAAGGCGCAAAATAACTGCCCATGAACTGAGAAAAGTCAAGCGTGCAGCTGCCACGATACCACTTGCCACCAGTTTGGCCATATTTCAGAGCTGCAACATCACTGGAGTGCCCAAAAGCACAAGGTGTGCAATACTCAGAGACATGGCCAAGGTAAGAAAGGCTGAAAGGCGACCACCACTGAACAAGACACACAAGCTGAAACATCAAGACTGGGCCAAGAAATATCTCAAGACTGATTTTTCTAAGGTTTTATGGACTGATGAAATGAGAGTGAGTCTTGATGGGCCAGATGGATGGGCCCATGGCTGGATTGGTAAAGGGCAGAGAGCTCCAGTCCGACTCAGACGCCAACAAGGTGGAGGTGGAGTACTGGTTTGGGCTGGTATCATCAAAGATGAGCTTGTGGGGCCTTTTCGGGTTGAGGATGGAGTCAAGCTCAACTCCCAGTCCTACTGCCAGTTCCTGGAAGACACCTTCTTCAAGCAGTGGTACAGGAAGAAGTCTGCATCCTTCAAGAAAAACATGATTTTCATGCAGGACAATGCTCCCTCACACGCGTCCAAGTACTCCACAGCGTGGCTGGCAAGAAAGGGTATAAAGAAGAAAATCTAATGACATGGCCTCCTTGTTCACCTGATCTGAACCCCATTGAGAACCTGTGGTCCATCATCAAATGTGAGATTTACAAGGAGGGAAAACAGTACACCTCTCTGAACAGTGTCTGGGAGGCTGTGGTTGCTGCTGCACGCAATGTTGATGGTGAACAGATCAAAACACTGACAGAATCCATGGATGGCAGGCTTTTTGAGTGTCCTTGCA